AAATAGGGCTGGATGATTCGATTTTTTCCTTGGGCAATGTCACCATAACGTTTCATTTCCTAGCGCCCCGTGTTTCGTTGAAGTAGACAAACAACTAGAATTCCTTCCCTGTGTAATCTTTGTCTATCTGAAAAGCATTTGCCACCTGGCGGAAACAAACTTAGGTTCCATCACTGCTCTCTTGCGTGTTTTAGGCGGTTAAATTCGCTCGCACATTAAAATGCCCGTCTTTTCAGCGCCTTCTCGCAAACGCTAGTAGGTTTATAGGTATATGCAAAATTGCATGAAAATTGCTCTTAGTCATGTGTTTTCTTATTTTCAGTTCTACATGTACTCGTAAAATAGATCAGTTTCTTTCTTCAAGGGATTATATCTCTTGAGACTCCTTATGAGGAGGATGTCACTGGGTTACTTTTGCGGCTCAAAAAAAGAGACAATTTTTATATGTTTCCAGTTGCCATGGAAAATTAGGGATGTCTTTCTCTGTTCTCTCCAATGCTTGTTGAAGTATGGTTTCAGCACTCAAAAGTTAGTTCTGAAAGATCTAATAAGCGTGCCTGTGTAACACACAGAACACGAAACTCCATTCGGGTATCAAAATTCTATAGACGTTTACAAAGGCTGCGAGTAGATCGACCGTGTGAGGCCGAGTTGCGCCGAGTGCTTCAATTCAGGATTTTAGTAGAAATATGTTTGCGAAATTTCGACTCTTCTGTTGACAATAGCCGGGAGCCTTCCCGCTATTTTTTGCTTCAACCGTTAATTCACACTTTTTGACTTCGCATCAGTTCGTGGTTCTGATAACAAGGGCACCCAACGTCAATTTTCGGCATATCTGTTCGGAAGACGATTTGAGATCTAGAATTTTCGGAATATTTGTTGTAAAATTTCGTGCTTGCCTGCCTCTCCTAGGATTTTCGAACATCTAAAAAATGGTATAATTGCCCATTTTAACGGATTTTTACCCTAAAAGGTCACCTAGAATTTTTCGGGAGCCTTTTTTCTGGCTGAAATTTTCGAAAAGGTAAGTTTTGATCCCTATAATTTTCGGATCACTAGACTTTCAACTAGAAAATCCGAACAGATAAAAAATTTTTAGGGGATAAAAATATGTCTATATCTACCGTTTAAATACTAAAATACGTTTAACACTGCTATGTTTAGTGGTTTTGAACTATATTCTCGTTGGGTACCCCTGTGATAAGAAAGCTTTGTCTGTGACTGCAACAGCATGCACTCGAAGTCTTAAGCGTCACTATTCTTATTGACTTGTAGTTGCCGGGTGTCATGGAAAAACGTAAAGCGGATTTTACTCCGCTGTTGCCACTTGAAAATTACCAATGAAAAGGAGCTAAAAAGAATTATTTTTTTATGTACTGAACTGGACGAAATGCCGATCTCTGAATAAAGGCGTTTAGCAGGAATTCAATTCACGGCGGCTGTGCAAGCAGGTGTTGGAGGGAGGCATTCTTGAAAATAGCTGAAACATTTTTTTCAGAGAAGAGAGGGAGACGTTTAGACTGATTTATAGACATTTCAACATCAACATATGTTTCATTTCAAAGAATATGGGATATGTTTCGACGGGGGCAACGATTAAAACAAGAGGGGCAAATTGTTTGAAAACGAAAGAATTTTTTTTTTTTCAAAAAAATGCGGATACTTGTGGACGAGCCCGATAAATAGATAACACAACATATTGCTTCCATTTACTGCTCGTAGGCGTTTACATTCTAGCTTCCATTAGACGGCCGTGGGTTGTTTGCCATTTGATATTTTCAATTAAAATTTGATAGTGCGTAACTGACGGGCGTCTAAAATTAGAACGGGACACTAATTAGCGGCAGCTAATTGTTGAGACTGTTGCACTTCGAGAGATACTGACAACACATCACTCTACACGCTGTCGCAGGAAACCCGAAGAACTAATTTAATCGAGACTAATAGTAGAAACTCGTGAACTTCGTGCAAACTCGTAAAACTAAACTCTTAAAACTGGTAAGAGGCGTTCAGTGGAGTTTTTACTTCCCTTTGAGCCGTCTATTTAAACTTTGTTAAGACTGAGTTGTTTTTTTAGTTATTATTCCAATTAGGTGTTGTTTGTTGAACGAGAAAGTCTTCGCTTAAGTTTTAATAATGGTCGATAATAGGAAGTTAAAACAGCCATAAAGTTAAGAATTTTTCAACAACAACCCTGAACGTGCAAAACGTTTTTTTGAACATTTCCGTAAAGTTACTGCACGTCAAGGCATGAAATTTCCTAATGCGACGCTTCATAGTACTAAAGAACGTAAACAATTGATGACTTTTTACTTTCTCTAAATGAATTTTGAAATATTCATCTCCAGGAAAATTAACCGTCTGCAACACTCTAATAGGCCAGGATACATGCCAGCTGTTTCAGGTGTTTGTTTGTAACAATATGGTCTTGGAAAGGAGACAGAGAAGCTTGAGAAAAAGTCGGCTCCTTTGAGCTTATAATTGTTACTTGACTGTTTCA